GACCATAGCACTCACCTACAGCAGGTAGAGCAGCCCATTAGCCACATTTGTGGGGCTGCTCTCACGCTAATGCCTCCTAACCATATTGTTTGAGAACAACTACTGTGCTCTCTCTCATTATTGCAAACATACCTAAATACTACCCAGAGCCTATTTTCTTATGAACAAGTATTGGCAGGTCCTAAAATGGAGATGGGAATGTTTGATAGTTCTCAGGTGGAGTGCCAATCCTTGGCTGTGGCTTATGTGTCTCCTTGCTTATGCCAAGAGGTCTTAATATATAACTGCAAAGGTTGGACAGACCTGGGTATCTGCAGGGAAGTGACATGCAGGGAGGGCTCAGATCGCAATCTTTTGCAGGTTTGTGATATCCTGCTGGGGTGCCCGTGAGGTAAGTAAGATTGAAGTCACTCATATGAAGTAGGCATTACAGTGGCGCTTTCTCCAAAAGTATCTCTGAAGATCCTGATATTACTTTCCTTCTCTTTTAATGAATGATGAACTCTGCTTCCCTCCAGTCCTATTGGGAAAATCTAGCTGCATGTAACAGTCTATGTGGTGTCATCTTAATGAAATTTTTCTACAATATCCTATATCTAAATCAGGATTATTTCCCTTACTCATTTGCTCAGCTGGAGGTGAAACTCCTATTCCTGCCTTTTAGGTAATCCTTCACCACATTTTTCCTTTGTCTGAGTACATCTGTTCGTTCTATCTGAACTATCTGCTTAGATTGTAGAACAGCTCTTTTAAAATTGCCAAATACACCTTAACTTTCCAAAATATTGTTCCTGTATATATTTCTTTCACATAAAGATGCAAAACCATTAAAAAAAACATCCAAGCTTCTCTCCGTGTCATAAAATGTCTGAAACTTCAATTTATTTTAAGATAGTAGATTGTAACTGATGGATCAGAAGCTGATACACATATCTTTAGTGGTCCTTCTTGGGAATGGGAAAAGGGTAGCAACTGCTGGGAGAAACACCAGGTAGAAAATTGGGATAGTGATCATTTTAGCCACCTCAATTTCAGCCCCTAATAAATGTGAATCAAAACTCTGTGAAGCCAAAATTGAGAGCTGGAGCATTTACAATTCCTCCAGTGAAGGTTACTGAAGTGAATGTGATCAAAATAACAAGAGTAAGCAAAAGGAGTTTTTCATTTTGCTGATATGTCACTCATGGTCTATGCTTTTCCTCTGTCTATAGGCTATGAAGTCTCTAAACAATTGTTAAATTTCATATCCTCACAGCAGTTACTGCTTTATTACATTATGCAGTCAAATCAATGGAAAGTTTTGATCATTTGTTTACAAGCATATACAGGATAAAGGCATAAAAAACATATATATTTTACTTAAATTTTGATAATTTCTGAAGATATATCTGCAATATCCACATACACTCCAATTTATTTAATCCCTGTGTCCTTATTTTATATTACATAGTATTAACGAAGAGAACCTTGAAAGTCACAATTTGATTAGTTCTTTTCTAAATTACGTTCCCATTGAAGCATTGCAGAACTCAGGTGCACTTTTTCTGCAATGTTTTTTTCTGCTATTTCATTTTTACGTGGTGGAGGTCGCAATTTTTCCCTTCATTGCATTTATTCATAGTTTCACATTGTCTGAAACACAATTTTACAGCAAACTAAAATCTTTCATCTTATATACACTTTTAGTATTTACAAAACTGCCATTGCAGATCAAACCATGAGATCGGAATAGAATTACACTTAGCTAAGATTACCTATTCATACAATCTGAAGTTTTGGTTGCTACTGCGCACTTAAATATTGTATTCACATTATGTGTTATATCTGGTAATACCAAAGGTTGAGCTGTAGTGTAGTCTTTATAATTCTTAAATAACGACAAAAAGGAATGACAATATGCTTTTTTTTCCTAATCAGTTACAGATTAATGAAATATTCCCCCAGAGCTCTGTTCTGTTCAGCATATTACCCTATCTTCCACCAGATATCAGTATTGATTGAATCCTTCCTGGTTCTTTATGAACGACCTATGGCCTACCTCTCCCCTTGTTAAAACTCAGATTATCGCAAAGTGCTCTAGTTTTTGTCATGAAAGCATTTTCTTATTTCAGTAATTGCTGTAAAATGCTCAAGGAATAATTAGGTGGCTTGTATTTAGAGTGGGAAGAGGATTCAGAATTGGTTTAAGGTAAACCTTTGTGTATACATATTCAGTGAGATGTGTAAGAAAAATCCAAACAGCAATACAGTTTTAAATTTTTCTACTATTAGAGAAAATACATAACACAGTAACACTCTCTGGGGAGAAAGAGTATAATTACTAAACTGCTATGCTAGTCCTTGCACATCTTAAATTACCAGAGAAACAAAGATAATTTCCATAAATATCACCAGAAGTTTAGGAGATTGTTTTCTTCTACAAAGCTGCAGTTTTGTAACATCAGATATCCAATGACTATCTACTTGAATCTAAAATGCAAAATGAAAAGTAAATGGCTTGATTTACTAAAAAATCGGTACAAAAATTCATATAAAGACAAACAAACAAAAAGAAAACACCTCACGCAAGGCAGCACAGTAAGTTTGCCTCCCTTGTACTGAAATTCCAGGACGTCAAAATAAGACAACTGTTTGTTCATAAATCTCCAGAAATTAATAAAGTGCTTATATTTCTATAAAAAGTGCAATAGGAGGCTGTACGAGACACTATTTCACTAGACTTTGGCGTTTTAAGAGGTAAAACACATGGTCAAAGGAACTGGTTCTTAATCCATATTCAGAGCTGAAAGAAGAGTTTGTGTTACTTCCTCCTCTTCAAAATCAGTTTAAACTGTCAAAATAGCTTTAAATCGGCAGATTTCAACTTTGACCCCAAGAAAACCCTCTAAAGAATCAGACTGAGTTGTTGCTGTAACATTTATGTCAAAAGGAAATTTTTAATTTGCAAGGAAAAACAAAAGTTTCTCTCTTCAGAGGTCTCTCCAGCAGCAGCACACGGGATTTATCGCCTCTCCTTTAACTCAAACCGCGTGTTTTCCGCTGCAAACTCTCCCGAACGCAAGTACCTGCTCTTCTCCTTCCTCACCGGGGAAATGGGGCGATTTGGTGGCAGAAATTCCGAGGAAAATACACTTTTGTTAGTCCAAAGAAACACAAATCGAGCACACCGAAGGGCTCCCCGGCCGTGCAGCGGGGCGGGCTCTGCAACGCACCAATCACCGCGCGGCTCAGCTCTAAAAATACGAGCATCTGACCCGCGCCAGCCCAATTGTGTTCGCCTGCTCCGCAGAGGACTCCGCCGCGATGTCCGAGACCGCTCCCGCCGCCGCCCCCGATGCGCCCGCGCCCGGCGCCAAGGCCGCTGCTAAGAAGCCGAAGAAAGCGGCGGGCGCTTCCAAAGCCCGCAAGCCCGCGGGGCCCAGCGTCACCGAGCTCATCACCAAGGCCGTGTCCGCCTCCAAGGAGCGCAAGGGGCTCTCTCTCGCCGCGCTCAAGAAGGCGCTGGCCGCCGGCGGCTACGATGTGGAGAAGAACAACAGCCGCATCAAGCTGGGGCTCAAGAGCCTCGTCAGCAAAGGCACCCTGGTGCAGACCAAGGGCACCGGCGCCTCCGGCTCTTTCCGTCTCAACAAGAAGCCTGGAGAAGTAAAAGAAAAAGCTCCCAAGAAAAGGGCTCCCGCAGCTAAGCCCAAGAAGCCGGCGGCTAAGAAGCCGGCCAGCGCCGCCAAGAAGCCCAAGAAAGCAGCGGCCGTGAAGAAGAGCCCCAAGAAGGCTAAGAAGCCCGCGGCCGCAGCGGCCAAGAAAGCGGCCAAGAGCCCCAAGAAAGCCGCCAAGCCAGGCCGCCCCAAGAAGGCAGCGAAAAGCCCAGCCAAGGCAAAAGCGGTGAAGCCCAAAGCAGCCAAGCCTAAGGCAGCCAAACCCAAAGCGGCCAAGGCGAAGAAGGCGGCGCCGAAAAAGAAGTAAATTATAATACCAGAAGAGTTCTGCTCTGCATATTTTGTTATCCAACGGCTCTTTTAAGAGCCACCCACACTTTCCCTAAAGGAGCTGAGGCACCGAGGTCGTCCATAACCTGCAGCAGGGATCCAGTAATTCGTAAGTCGTCAAGAGGTCAATTGTGTCTTTTTCTTTTTTTTTTTTTCTTTTTCTTTCCCTAGGATTACCGAAAAAAATGCGAACGAGCACGGTATAACGCGGCGGCTTTAGGGAAGTGTAGACTTTTTTTTCCCTCTGAGTAATTAGTTTGACTACCAGGAAGCAATGTTTAGCAATGTTTTATAATGATTTGATAAAAAAAAAAAAAGGGTGTATGTTTTTTTTAAAAGATGTATTTTGTAACAAAATAATGCAATTGCCAGGCACGCTACTACTGAGCCATGTCTAATCTATTGTATTATTTCTTTTAAGGTGTCTCCTTAAAATGCTTTTGTGTATCTGGGGGAGGAGGGGAGGGTTTCTTTACGGACACAAAAATAGCCCTGAGCTCTCCCAATCCTTTTGTTCCCGCTGAGAAAGAAAGCCTAGAGTATTGAAAAAGACCGCCCTGACCAAGGATTGGCCAGCGGAGAGCCCGGCCCGCTGCCCCTTCCCCCTCCCTCAGCAAACATTACGCCTCTTATCTCTGGAACTGTATCAGCCACTCTCGGAGAAGAAAAAGGCGGAAGAGGGGGGGGAGGGACGGGAACTCTCAACTAACAGTGTTCCCATGTTCTCTGACATAAGAACTAAACGAAAAACATCAGATACCAGGAAGAACTTGCATGGGGAGGACGTTTTGACACGCCTTTGTTAACGAAAATCTGGAAAGCGTTGCTACTATCACGAAGCCAAAAATGCTGTTAATAAATTTGGAAAAAGACAAAACACGAGTTGAGTGATTAATATAAATCGGCATAACTGTGGTATGGATAACTGAGCTCTCTTATGATTTTGTGGGTGGCTCTGAAAAGAGCCTTTGGATTATTTTCACCGGAAGAGACAACGTGCCGCTTTTTCTTTGTTTACTTGGCTTTGGCCTTGTGACTGTCGGTCTTCTTGGGCAGCAGCACGGCCTGGATGTTGGGCAGCACGCCGCCCTGCGCGATCGTCACCTTGCCCAGCAGCTTGTTGAGCTCCTCGTCGTTGCGGATGGCGAGCTGCAGGTGGCGGGGGATGATGCGCGTCTTCTTGTTGTCGCGGGCCGCGTTGCCCGCCAGCTCCAGG